CCTACTCAGCCCCACGACGGCGCCCGCCGGCCTCGGCCTAGACGGGCAGCGCCAGAGGTGAGTGGGCTGGGCGGGGCGGGCTGCACGCTGGGGTTGGGGTGGCCTAGAGGCCCGGCCCGCACGCCCGGTGCGTGACCTGTGGGCTTGGCAGCCAGGCACAGGTTAGGTAGTGAGCCGAATCCTTCCTCCCGGCTCACAGGGTGGTTGACCTGTGGGCTCGGCAGCACAGAGCACAAGGGTTCCGGTAAGCCACGGGCTCGGCGGACCTGGCCGTGGTTGGGGTAAGGTGGATCCATTCACCCGGCACCCAAGACATAAGGGGTCAGAGGTGGCCCCAGGGTCCATCACCCACCCCAGCATGCATGAGTCAGAGCGCCTGGTAGTCCTATCTGCCCTTGACTTGGGCTGAGATGATCTGGCAGCATCAGTCCAGAATACAGGAGACAAAATTTGGGGTTAAATGGAGCCTTGTCAGCCCGTGTCACAGAGTTGCAGTGTCCTGAAGCTTGTCAGCCGCCAGGTACAGGGAATACTTCCATTAAAGCCGTCAGATCCTGGTTATGGGGTCAGTTCTTCACCTTCAGAGTTCCCTCAGCTTAACTGACTTTAGACACACCCCTCCCTGTCCATTCTATCAGTACCCTAAGCACTGGAACTCGCAAACACTTTTATGTGCTGTGTGTCGGCCTCAGCTTGTGGGCCAGGGTCTGTTCTCAGCCCTGTATACCCGGCCAGACCTTCCTCCCTGCCATGCCACAGCTGCTGGACAGAGGACCTCTGCACTGGGTCGTTTCTGAGGACTCCTCAGCCTAACCCAGGGCAGCTTTTATTGCTAACCACTGCCCTGCCCCACCCCACCCCCGGACTGTGCCCACACCCCAGTGTCCACAGCTACCAGGTACCAAGTGGGTCTCAGCCTTCTCAGCCCCCTCTGACAGTCTCAGTCTTCACCTGAAGAGTGACAATAGCAGGCAGCTCTAGCCATTGTGGTCCCTTCTGGGCAGGGCCCACTACTATAGGGCAGAGCTCCTGCCAGGTAGCTCCCAGGTGTGGGAAGCCCTGGGCAAGTCTAGCATGGGTAAGCTGTAGACTCACAGTGTGGAGGTGCCTCCCACGTCTGTGATGGGGAAAAGTTACCTGACATCTGACCCTGCATCACATGTCTGTGTGGCCAGGAGGGCCTGAACTTTCTGTGGTCACCACCTTAGCCTGTAGGATCTCCACCGGACATAGAAGGATCCACTGGGGATAAGGGTCATTTTGTCCCAGAGTGTTAGCTGGACCCCTTGTGAAGAGCAGAACTGAAGATCAGTCTGAAGTTTTCGTGGGTCAGGCTCCCTTTGCTAGCTCCTCCAATGAGCCATCTCCTACCCTCCCAGTTCTGCTTTCCTTCATTCTGACATCCTCGCTACCACCCACAACTACAATTGCCTGTGGCAGATGTCTTTTTCTTCTTGGGCTCTGCTTACAAGTTCTTGGCACTGCCCTGGAGTTGTTATCCTTCCTCTCATGGGCACAGGCCCTTAGGAAGAGGACTGTCTACCCTCTCTCAGCTCCCGTCCTGTGGCTAGGAGAGACAGTAGTGGCTGGCCTGTTAAAGGGGGCTACTGGCCCCCAGATTTAGTGCCCTGATCTGTTTGTGTTTTTTATTTTATGTGCGTTGGTGTTTTGTCTGCATGTGTGTCTGTGTGAGGGTGTCGGATCCTCTGCAGCTGGAGTTACAGACAGTTGTGAGTTGCCCTGTGGGTGCTGGGATCCAAACCTGGGTCCTCTGGAAGAGCAGCCAGTGCTCTTATCCTCTGAGCCATCTCTCCACCTGATCTGTTGTTTTTTAAGATGCAAAACCCTAGAGTTCCTGAAGGCTGTGTCACAATGAGTACAGACCAGCTTTCTGCCATCCAGAAGCTCTGTGACCTTGAGCACCTAATGGGTCTCTTGGAACCTCAGTCTCCCCCTCTGCAATGGGCTGACATGAAGCCTTTCTCCTTGAGGTCCCAGGATCCTAAAGACTCAGGAAAGTGACAACTGTTATAACTTGGGGCTCCCAACAGCGTTTCTAGCTAGTGACGGAATCACCGCTAGTTTTCTGCATGGGGCTTTAGGCACTGTTATTGTCTTTTTTTCCTGCATGTCTGGCAGTCAGCCCATCTCTAGAATCTATGGTCAGGTTTGAAGCATTGCATTCCAGCTAACCTCATCTGCTGCTGCCTCTTGCCTAGAAAGCCTGTGTATGCACCTCAAGAGCCATGGTGACAAAGGACACAAACCTGGTAGCCCTTCCCCTAGCTCAGGATGCCAGTCACTGGGGGTCAGGCTGTAGCCTGGGGGTGCTTCTAAGGCCTGGGGTGCCCTGCAGCTTATGCTGTGTTCAATCTCCTTGCTTCCATGTGTGTCCTCACAGACTTTTCCTGACCTTCTTTTGCCTTGGCCTCTTCTTAGACTGTCTCTAGCTAAGACCCCTAACACAGGCTAGGTTTTTGATGGATCTTTTTGGGGAACTACTTCAACTCACAACAGCCCTGCATTGTATCTGCCACAGAAATGAGGGGGAAGGGAAAGTCCCCACAGGCAAATGACTTTGCAAATTTCAGCCTAATGCTCCCACCATCAGGAGAACTGGGCATAGCCTAGAGGCAGGAGGCTGTACTCTGCTTTGATCTGGAAGAGGAGCCTAGGCCAACCCTAACTAGCCACTGAGCCATTTAAACAGCCCCTGAGCCACTTAGCATCCATTAATTAGTCTGTGCCCAGCATCTGTCCACTGGTGGGGCTAAAAACCACTGGAGTAGTCAGTTCTCTAGGACAGCCAGGCACCTGCCCCTGCCCTGAGGCCCCGCTCTTTCTCTGTGAAGCTGCTAGATCACAGGCCCCTACATGGAGTGCTGGGACCAGGTGCCTTTGCTTTGCCTAAGACTAAGTGAGACTCACCAGGAGACCATGGGGCTTTTAGCTTATTCGCTTGCTTTTTAGCAGATATGGTTCTGCGATGAGCCAAAATGATGTTCAGGCAGAGGGGAGAGAGCCCTGAACACCTGATGAGACTGCTGCCACCTGTACTTCCTTGGCAGGGGAGGCTCTCAGGCCCTGAGCATGCTGCTCCTCGCTGGGGCTGCCCTCAGCCTGTCGTGTGGCAGGTGGCTCCTGAGTCTGCCCCAAGACTGCAGAGACCATTTACTCTCCTTGCATCCCTAATGGGGACAGAATCTCAGCCACTGGGAGGTGGTCCTGCCTAGACCTCTCCCCATCTCCCAAGCTACCAAGTAAGGAAGCCTGTCGCATACCAGAAGATGGTTTAAGGTCTGTAATCAGGTTGCAGGTACTGACTGAAGAGCAGCGGTGGAATCCCTTGGCAGCAAGGTTGCTAAGGGGTAGTTCTGAGCTGAGTTAGTTCAGCAGAACTGATACATGGGTAAGCCTTCTTAGCCTCCTCCCTCTCTCTCCTGACCCCTGACCTCTTCTTCCCAGGTCACATGTCATGCCACCATGCACATAGAGCTAGGGTAGACACTGTCCTGTATAAATAGGCAACTTGAAGAGCTGAGCCCAGGTCTGCTCAGCTTGGGCTTATCGAGTTGTCGGGGGAATGTCAGCAGAGGCAACAAAGTCTAGGTTGCTCTCCAGTGTTCTTCTTTGTTGTTTGGCTTTTAGCTGTTTTCAAGTTGAGGTGCCAGGGATATGTGAACAGTACATGGAATCTGAGTGTGTCGCTCCCCATGTCTGTTTGTGGACCTACACCATACATGGCCACCATTCACTCCGCAGAACAGCCCCTAGGTTTCCTCACTCCCTCCTCAGCCATCTCCTGACTAAGACACCTTTTGTCACGTAGGGTGTCATACCTGAGTGTCAGTCACACAGACACCCCACATGTCTATCTTCTGCTGAAAAGCACAACTGTTACTGCCCGTGGGGTCAGTTAGGGCAGACTGTGAGGTGTGTCCTGTCTTGTTTATTAACCACAGGGTCTGCACTAGACGAACTTGGCTCATCCTCAGAGTAGCTGAGCTGTGGGCATGGGCCTCTTCCTCTCTGTCCCGCTGTTTGATTTCAGATCGAATGGCTCTATACCTCAGTGTCCCTACCTGAAACTGAGTATGAGTAGTGCTCCCTGGTACAATTCCGAGGATTGATTTACAAATAGCATGCTTGTGAGGGGAGAGAAAGCCACAGGGAACGAGATGTTGGGCCAACTGGGAACACTTCACAAGCTCCTGAGGGAGCACACCATTCCTAGAGAGACCATAAAGTGGCCATGAAGGGCAGATCTGCCTCAGCTCTCCCACATTGCCTCTGTGGACTTGCAAATGAGATCCCAGGGCCATGATCAGTCACCGGGCCTTGCCTGGATAATTACCTCAGGGAATGCCACGCCAGACAGGTGGCCCTAAGGGCCTCAGAACACAGACTCTTCCTCAGGTTCCACATTCTGTTGTACCCCAGGCCAGCTGCTTTTCCCTGCTCCATACCTGTACAGCCAGCCCTTGGCTAGTCCTCTCTAGGCAGATTCTGCCCCCAAACACCCAACACACTGTGGGCACGCATATGGCACCTTCCTAGCCAGTCAGGTTGTCTGAGTCTGCCATTCTGACTGGTCCTAATCCCTTCTGTTCCAGGCCCTAGCCTTTCCCTCTGGCCATGCTTCTAGATCTACACGGTGCCTGCACTTACCTGTTCACCCTCCTCCAGAGCCTCCCTGGGTTGGTGTCTTGTTCCCACCTGGCTGGTAGCTGGTAGCTGGTAGCCGCAGGATCCTCTGGAGGTAGCACCAGAGGCACCCAAGTGCCTCAGTCAGTTCACTTCTGTTTTCAGTTCTGGTTGGTTTTCTGCAAGCTTCTGTGACTTGTGTCATTTAATGGATGTAAGTGACTGTGTAAGAAGGGAGAGCCACAGACTTGGGTCACCGTGACAGTCTTGGTGCCTACCAGGACCTGGACTGAAACACAGTATTTGTGTGACCTTGGGCAGAATGGCCTCTGTATGCCACCGGTACTTGAGTGTGAGTGTCACAGCCTCTGAAGTGTTGGTGTGAGGTAGTGGCTGTATCTCCTGCTTCTGCGACAAGCACAGGCAAGGGCATGGTTTGGGGATCTGCATGGCCCTATCTGGCAGGCAGGAATCTGACCATGCCACACCTCATATGAACCAACTACCCTGCTGGAAGGGGGCTTCTGCTAATGATGCAGCAGGGACAGTATGGCCCTGGCAGCCACCAGATGCCCCTCTGCACTGTTCACGCTTGGTAAATGGCTACTGCCCAAATGTCAGGCATAACCCAAGGACCTGTGTGCAGTAAGCACACTGCCGTCCTGCAGAGCGCCCTGGGAGCCCCTTCTTGCACAGATGAAGCCCAGAGCCATTCCAGAGTCCTTGCAGATAGTGGGCTGATAAATTATGTGTATGGGTATTTTACCTGCTTGTCTGTCTGTGTGCCATGTGTGTGCTTAGTATCCAAGAGGTCAGAATAGAGAGTCTTGGATCCCTTAGAACTGGAGTTACAGGTGATACTGAATCTGGGTCCTCTGGAAGAGCAACCAGAGTTCCTAACCACTGAGCCATCTCTCCAGCCCCTAATAAAACTTTTTGTTTTTGTTTTTCAAGACAGGGTTTCTTTCAAGCAACAGGCTTTTATTTCTCACATTTGGAAGCCAGAAGCCTGGGAAGGTGTGGCAGGCTCCCTTTGAGGCCTCGCCCTTGGCCTCATAGATTTTGTCCTCCCTTGTCATCACACAGTCCTTCCTCTGTGTGTCTGTGCCCTAATCTTAAGGACACCAAAAGGGCAGGCCCAGTTACTCTCTTTAGAAGCCATATCTCAAAGCTCACTCGTGTTCTAAAGTCCCAGGTGAACATATGGACGTGGAGGGACAGAACTCCACTGGCATCCCAGTATGAAGAGGCTGTTATGGGACACGCTCAGATCGCAGGTGCCAATACTAAAGTCCCGGGAGTTCTCTCTCACTTTTGTGAGTTTCTGGTAGCAAGCTGAAGCACAGTCTGTGTGGCAGTAGCAGCTTCCCCAAATGACCCTTCCTTTCCACATCCCCATGTCTGATATGCAGGGTTTTCTTGGCCTCAAGGATAAGCATTTCTGAGCTGCAAGTACCTTGGACCGTTTGAATAACCAGGGTACTTGGACCTTTGGCATGTCAGAGGCTCATGGCAGGATCTCTAAATCCAGCTAGAGGACTCACTGCTCAGGGAACTTGGGGTTAATTATCTCTCTCTCTCTCTCTCTCTCTCTCTCTCTCTCTCTCTCTCAAGTCTGTGAAACCTTCGGTGTTGTGAAAGAGCTCGAGCTCCCCACCCATAGCTCTGGAAGCACAGACAGGCAGCCTCACAGCCATAGGCCCCACGGCTGTGATTGGAGCTCTTGGGGATTGACTAAGTCTCCCCTGGTAATCCCTCTGTACCCAGCCAGCCACAGAACCCTGAAGGAAGCTGTAGAGAGCTTCTGGTCTTGAGTCACTTGTTGGCATTCCTGCCTGGGGCCTCTGGGGCTTTCCTCTCCAGGTTCCTAGAAGGCCTTGGGTGTCAGGCTCATCTCTGTGTCTTGGATGTGCCTTTGGCTGCTGGCCTCCAACACCACTGGAAGCTTCCTAACTATGAAGTAGCCACTTTGTGTCCATCAGGTGAGGGGAACTTGGAGCAAAGTGAGGTAACAAGGATACCACGCATGGTGTATGCATAGCAGCAGTTAGCACAACTGAGGCACATTAGCCATCACCATTGACACCATCCCCACCAATGACACTGTCGTCACCACCACAGCACCATTGCCACTCCAAGCAATGACTTCACCGCCATTAGCATCTCTGCCACCCCCATCCACACCGTCTCCTGCAGTACCCTCTCCATCACCATTGTTCTGAGTGGGTGCTTTTCCTCATAGTGCTGTGTGGCAGTACTTGGCCTCGTCATTGGCTGCACTCTAGGATATTGGGTGCAGAGCATGTACACCCATGGATCCTGATACAGGGAAGAGAAAAACATTGCTGTCTGTATCCTGGTAGCTGTGTGTCCTGGAGAGCTGTTTGGCTACTCTGAGCTTGCCAGAAAGGGCCACACAGCTTGCACAGGGGCTACTATTAAGTCAACAGTGCTAGGTTTGAGAGACGTGGCCCATCATGCAATCATCCCATGGGCACTTGCTCAACTCTTTTTGTTTGAAAATGCATGGATAGTTGCTGAGGTCTAGGCAGGAGGAAAGTGGTTTGTGTGTGTATCCTCGGCTCCTGTTGGGGAAGCTTCAGGCTATGTGTCCTGGTGAATTCCTTGGCCAGATTTCTACATCCAAGACTCCCTCGGGAGTGAGAGTGAGCAAGGGTGTTTGACACATGTTCCTGATCCTTAGTGGCCCAGGCACCCTGCACCACAGTGACACCATGGGTGGTACTAGGAGCCAGAGTCTAGCTCGGTGGTAGAGCAACCTGCCTACCATGTATGAGTCTCTCAAGATCCTCAGTACTACTACCCACACACCATGTGCAGAGAGAGGGGGAGGGAGGCCCACAGACACTTCGGCAAGAAGTGACTGAATCATGCATCTTTGTGACCTTGTGTCACAGTGGTTCATGCCAAGACAATAATCCTGCTGTGTCTGACAGGAAGTTACGGTGTTTAGGTGAATGACTTTTGAAGGAGTTTCTCTTCTCTGTAATCCCAACAGGCAACAATGGAGGCTGGAGGATTAGGAGTTCAAGGTCGTTCCCGGCCACCTATTGAGTTTGGCTACATGAGACCCTGTCTTTAAAATTAAATAAATAATAAAAGAAAGAGATAAGGTCCCATATAGGTCAACATCCTCCATACTACCATGCCTAGATATCCCTTATTTTTTTTCCTTATGAACATGAACCACTTGTCTAATAATAGGAAAATAAAGATGGAAAGCTACAGCCCCTTGGGTCTGGATACAGGCCCCTCTTTCTCAAAGGCTAGGGCAGGGAGCCATGGTGTTTGGCACAGCCTCAACCTCAGATTGAGGTTCCTCATGTCTCTATCCTCTCAGGGATACTGGTACAGACTTCCCAGTGGCAGAGGCCTCAGAGCAGGCCTCAACCTCAGAACCACAGACCATATCTTGCCTTCCCTCATTGTGACCTTGGCCTCCAGAAGCCTACCCTTGTAGATTTGCTGTGATTTGACTCACTGTGTCCTGTAAAGACCAGAAGATCAGTAAATGGCCATAGTCATTAGACCCTGGGGACTAAGAACCTGAGTTGTTGTCTTAGTACGAAGTTGTGGGTCTGTGGGGTCTCAGTCCTCAGCCTGAAGAAGCCCTATTCTTGCACACGGTGCTTGCAAAGTGCCTCCCAGGTCCTGACCTCCTGGGTGTAGGATGGAGGACATAGGAGCCAACCTGACCCACAGGGATCAGGTTCTCCCAAGGAGAGGTATTATCTTCTATTGGTGACCGTCACCAACAGGCCTTCCTGAGGGGCACCATGGAGAGAGCTAGGACCCAAAGTCTAGGAGGAAAAGAATGTTCTAGACCCCAGAGCAGCTTCTGGGAGGGAAGGGTGTGTGTCTCTGACTTGAATAGCAATGGCAGCCTTAAGCAGGAGCTTACACTGTATTCCTGGCATGGGCCACAGCCCAGAGAGTTTACTCTACTGTCGAGGGCCTGGTACAAGCAGGCCCTCTGAGAGATGGAGCCTGTTGGAACCACCATGCACCAGATGCTCCCACACAGGGAAGGCTGGCAACCTTGTGTCAGGAAACAGGATCCCCTGCATGGAAGTTTTGGTTCCCAGATTCTTGAAGCCTCTGGGCCTCATGACGTAACTGCCCTGCATATTCCCAAGCTAGTTCAGTTCTCTTCAGGGAACCTGGCTGCAAAGGCTTCTTGGAGTCTGTGGTACGGGCTCTTCTGAGGTCATGATGTCTTCGCTACAGGAGACGAGTCACATCACAGCGCTGCTCCCTCGAATTTCTGGAAGACGCCGTGGGATGTGCCTCGGTGCAGAGGTATACACCCTACATGCCCCTACTCCAAGGCCCTCCAACCCCTGGGGCCACAAGGAGGGCAAGAACAACCTGCTTTTTACCTTACAGAACCAAGCATGCATCTGGGTCACCAAGACACAAAGGCCTGAAGAAAACCCACTTCATCAAAAACATGAGGCAGTATGACACGAAGAACAGCAGGTAAGAGCACGCAGGGCCTGGCCAGGGACTGCCAACGGTGCTCCCTACACTGCAGGACAAGGCAGCCTGCTTCATCGCCATGGCCTGTCTCCTGACCCTTTAGAATTGGGCACTCATGTTCCTCTAAGTTAGCTGAACACTGCCAGCGTGGCCAGGCCAGCAAACCTGCCTTGTACAGTTCCATGGAAGAGCCACCAGCTGGACTCAAGTCTTTGGGAAAAGAGGACTAGGAGAGCAAAAATGGGCCCCACCCCAGATATGCTCAAGGGTGTGGTGCATTGTCAGGGGTGGGTTGTGGGGGTCATACACAGGATAAGGCATGGTTATACTTGGGAGCACATAGGAGGAAGCAGTCATACTGGGGACACACACAGAAGGAGGTGTGGGATATTGGGGAACATTTGGAACCTGAACTCAAACTGGTATTTGGCTCCCCAAAACAGTGCTAGGCTGGGCTCTGGGCAGCTGCATATGTCCTGCACTGGTGCAGGGGCAGTGCTTTGACTGTGTCCCTTGGCACCACACTACCAGTCACTCTGATCCACTCTGGGAACCCCCTTCCCTCTGTAGGTCACCCTGACTAGTATCTCCAGGGAATGAATGCTACAGGGCCTAGCCAGAGGTGGCTCCCTGCAGGTCCTGAACTCCAAGACTGCAGGGTGGCCTCGGGTCCTAAGCCCTGGGCAACTGAGCTCCGCATTAGATCTGGCTGCTCTCCAGAGCATTGAGCCTTGCCTTGGTCTGGACCACTGAGGCTCCATGCTGATGAACCTCACTTCCCTGTGCCCTATCTTTGTGCAAATGAAGCCTGCCCTTTCCTGGGTGACCTGTGCCCCCAGGAAACATGAAATCTATGGCCCTGTGTGTTAGAGGGTCAAGGGAGATCTACCCAGCAGTTCTGTTGTACTCTTAAGGCGCTGTGCCTGGGAACAGGGAGTTGCTTTCTTACTAAGAATCTCTAGGGAATCAGGCCCATGTGCTAAGATGCTAGGCTGGCTTCCTGAATCCCAGCCCCCTCCGTGGCTCTTGTCAGTTTCCATCACCCAGCTGTAGGCAGGACAGAACTAAGGCCCTGCTCTGACCTGGGCTTCCCACAGGATTGTGCTCATCTGTGCCAAGCGGTCCCTGTGTGCGGCCTTCTCAGTCCTGCCCTATGGAGAAGGCCTCCGGATCAGGTAAGAACCCATGCTGTGTACACTGATGAGCCCTGGGCCCAGCCCACAGGGCAACAGTGCAGCCCATCCCTGAGTGTGAGCTGGGTCCTTAGACTCATGGGGTGTCAGCCCACCACCTTCCACCACAGCCCAGGAACTTGCATTTCATGTTCTTATTCCCTAGGGGGCCACAGGTTCTGATGAAACTATGTATAGGTTGGCTGAGATATTTCTGTCCCTCCCTCAGATATGCTCCTAAAATCTTGTGACCAACCCTGGCAATTGTGTCCTGAGTGTAATTCAGGGAAGAAGGAAACAGCTGTTGGGGTGGGGCAGTGTTGTGTGTGACCCCACAGAACAATAGTCGACACAGAGAAAACTCCCGTCCAGAGTGGGTGGTAGCCAGTTCTCGGGGGCCCGGGCCAGCTGCTGAGGTGTGTGACTGCAGATGAAGGGTTAGAGGCACCCAGAGAAGCAGATCTGAGCCCAAGTACAGGTGAGTGTTAAGGGATGTTCCAGAGTGGTGGCTCTCTAGTGCTTTGACAGATGACATCTGTCTGGGGCAGGAGTGAGATATAGACTACCTTCAGCTTTAACCTGTCTTGACCTCCAAGGTCATACCCATCTACTTCTCCTCCTGTTCTGGGAGCTCCTCTGTGTGGGTGGATGAGCAGACAAGGCTGCCACATGGATTTATTGTGGGCCAGGCATCCACCCACTGATTGCAGGAAGAGGGACTACAGCCCTCTCCTCTCCTAATCATTGCAGTGACCTGAGGGTGGACAGCCAGAAGCAGAGGCACCCATCCGGCGGCGTTTCTGTTTCTTCCGAGATGGTCTTTGAGTTGGAAGGCGTTGAGCTGGGAGCAGATGGAAAGGCAAGAGCCCTGTGGCCAGCCAGTGGCCAGCAGAGTTAGGCAGACAGGTGCCTCATACATGAATCTAAGACACAGCACTGGGAACCAGCCACACACCTATCACTAGCTGGCCCATGCCTAAGAATACACCATACGTGGCCACTGCTGGCTGTAGGTGACCCAGCTGTCTCCCCCGGGCTCTCCACACCTAGCCCTGCTTCTGAACCAGTAGGCCAAGGCCAAGAGTCTTCCAAAACAGGGAGACTTGCACAGCTGCAGACCCCAGGGATGGAAGCTGGTACTCTGATATAAGAACACCTGCCCCAAATGGGTAGCAGCATGGCCCTCAGGCTTCTTGCTGGAGGGTGGAGGGCAGCAGGATTTGGTTGTCCCTTAGCCTGGGGAAGCAGGCCTGAGTTCCCCTGTGATTGCTTTTCCAGGTCGTGTCTTATGCAAAGTTCCTGTACCCTACTAATGCCTTGGTTACACACAAGAATGACAGTCACGGCTTGCTGCCCCAGCCTCGGCCCAGCGTCCCCCGTGTTCCACCAGGTTCAAGACACAAACCTGTACCTACCAAGTCAACACCAGCTGGCACAGAACTAGGTAGTCCAGGTGCCTTCGCCATGGCACTAGGGAGGCAGCAGCAATGGCTGGGCTAGGGACAGTGATGATGGGACAGACAGACAGACAGCAGTGTAAACCACATCTCCACTGGGGCTTCTCAGAGGACAAGAATTTGGGAGGTGTGGCCCGAGGCTCTGCCTGAGTCAGGCAGAGGAAAGGATCCGTGTGGGAAGCGGGCACTGTCCAGGTGTCACTTCTTGTACCCAAGTCCTGGCCCTTCACTTGGGAGTCCTCTCCCACCTGGGAGCTGTGATGTGATGCCTCTCTCTCCCTTGGGTGTGGTGGGGAGGGGTGGCATGGGTTCTGACCGGGACCCAGGGGTCAATAGCTGCCTCTGCCCACAGGAAACGATGGAGGAGAGGCAGTGGAATACAACCCCAACCTCTTGGATGACCCACAGTGGCCATGTGGGAAGCACAAGCGGGTCCTTATCTTTGCTTCGTACATGGTAAGTTCCGTGGCCCTGGCGTTGCTCAGGGAGTCAGCTGTGAGTGAGCACCCCTCCACATCCAGAAGTCCAGAACAGCCATCTATTCCAGGGGCCTTGTCCAGCACCAGCAGGTAGGACAGGGCCATAGACAAGGACAGTGTGACAAAGCCGGATAGCCAGCCATGCTAGACAGGCTTCTGGGGTGAGCTCTGGGTACCCCTCTGAAGTCCCACACACTCGTGTCTGTAAACCCAGGCCGCAGGGTTTCCACTCTGAAGGCGCCTAGGCTCCACCTACCTCTACTTGTGTTATAGACCACGGTTATAGAGTATGTGAAGCCTGCAGACCTCAAGAAGGACATGAATGAGACCTTCAGGGAGAAGTTCCCGCATATCAAACTGACACTGAGCAAAATTAGGAGGTAAGAAAGGGCCAGGCAGATGCCCCGACCCAGCCACAGAACCTGGCCCTGGGCTTTCTCCTTGGAGAACATAGTGTCTTTTCTGACAGCCCACACCACGTGGTGTAGCCATGGAAGGGTGGCCGATGCTTCGTCGTAGTCTGATGGACACGGCTCCCATCCCACCCACAGTTTAAAGCGGGAGATGCGCACCCTGTCTGAGGAGTGCAGCCTGGAGCCCGTGACCGTGTCCATGGCCTACGTGTACTTTGAGAAGCTGGTGCTGCAGGGCAAGCTCAACAAGCACAACCGCAAACTGTGTGCTGGAGCTTGCGTTCTGCTGGCTGCCAAGATCAGCAGTGACCTCCGCAAGGGCGAAGTGAAGCAGCTGATTGACGTGAGTGCTGAGTGCGGAGGTGTGCGGCAGCACTGAAGTGTAGGTGGGCGCCACAGACGGGGCTGACCTGCTGACCCTTTGCTTCCTTCACTGCAGAAGCTGGAGGAACGATTCCGGTTCAACAGAAGAGACCTCATTGGGTTTGAGTTCACGGTGCTTGTGGCTCTGGAACTGGCCCTGTACCTCCCGGAGAGCCAAGTGTTACCTCACTACAGACGCCTCACCCAGCAGTTCTAGCCCAGAATAGTGTGCACCCTGCAGGAAGGCTGCTTGGTAGGAAGGCATGTGGCTTGGCTAGAACAGAGGCAACTAGTGTCCAGTCCCTCCTCCAACACTGCACTTGCCCCTCACAGCCCAACACTGCTTCCATTCAGAAGTGTACCACACCTCACAGCACTTCTGAGAATTTTCCTGATGTAAATGAACAGTGTGGGGCTTGGCTTGCTCTTCATGTGCCTGAGACCAGCCTGGTTTACATTGTGTGGATCCTGAGGTCCAGCCTTTGAAACCCATCACAGCTGAGACCATTCCCATGGAGACCCAGGTGAACAGACCTGAACATAGGAGAATTGCCAACCAGGCTTATTTCTGGAATCGGCTGTGTAGACCCTCCCTCCACCACCCTAACAGAGCTCTCCTTTGTTGGCAAGGTAGAGGGGAGGGCAGATACCTTGACCCACCCTGGTTTTGCTTACTCTTTGGACCTTGTCATGCATCTGTCACTGTGAAACCCCTGTGCCATTCACACATACAGCAAGGCTTGGCCAACCCCACCACACCGCCTGCCGGAAACATCCCTGAAGCACTGGGCCCTTAAGACAACTGCTGACTTGAGGCTCTTGGCTTTCCTAAGCAATACTGTAATGGATAAAAGTCATTGAAATTTGTTCTCCAAGGTAACAGAAGCTGGTCCAATAAGGTCTGCTGGTGCAACTCTGAAACCACACCTGATCTCCAGGCAGGAAGGCACTGACCCTGCCACCTCTAAATGTCGTCGAGGACAACTTGCCTGTGCATCCACCGTGCCATTGTCCCTTTGCTTTTTTATGACAAGTAGCCACTATTCGGGGTCCCATAGTAGGTGCCAGACCTACTGCTAGCAGCTGCTCGGATCCACAGCCTCACCACACCCCAGCAATGCTCACGCCTCACGCCTGACACTGTCCAACCACCTAGGACCAGAGCATCAATAACAGCTTGAGCACAAGGGAGCCTTGCAGGATTGTGACAGACCAATCTTGTTTATAGACCATGCTTATGCTGGTGTAAGTGAACCCTAACCCCTACAGCATCTTGGGTGCAAGACAATGGTCCTGCAAACATGCCATCCTTAAGGTAGTCCCCTCATTTGGTTTAAAATGAACCTCCTAGACATTGCTCCAACTTTCAGGCTACCCTCCGAGGACACCCAGGCAGCTTCCTCTAGATGTGTAGTTAATGTTAAAGCTGGTAGACAGCAGTAACTTAAGCTTATATTTATGTAGTAAAGTTTATTATTTACCAAGCTCGCCTACTAAGAGTCCTTCCATCCCACTCATCTTTAGTGACACCAAGAGCTGCTGTGTGGTACCAAGCACTGCTGCAACAAAACCAACCTTAAACCAAATGGCAGGCTAAACCCAGAAATCTGAACTATATCCATGGTGTCCAGCTGGACTGTGACCCAATGCCACAGACCTGGTGCTGCACCCTTAGCACCCAACAGTAGGCACAAGTGTTTGTGAAAGGCTATCTAACCTCAGAATGTCATGTACGTCGGGTAGGTTTTGAATGGATGGTGTTAATGTTTTTGTTAAAGTAAAACTTGGTTTTGCAACATACTCCCTAGTTTGTCTTTCGGATGAGTGCGTTGTCCCTATTCAGGTCGCAGGAAACACACCAGCCCTGCCAACACGCTAAAAGCACACAACCAACAAAGGTACTTTCTCACTTTTATTTATGACAAACGCTCCCCCATGTCTTCTGGTTAAAAGTTCCTAACAAAGGAAGAAAAATAATATTAAAAGCCGTACCTCTTGGGAACCCCCAGGCCATTCAACCCCAATATGATTCCCCCACCACCACCACCACACACTTACTTTGAGACAATTCCATCAGCCTTAGCCAGTCGGAGAATGGAATCATCGGACTCGCCCTTAAAATTAAAGATAAATCCCTAAATATCCCCGTACGGCTCCCGGCTCGGCAGGTCATGCACCACCATACCCAAATCTGCACCCCACCCGCACCGCCCCAAGGGGAAATAGAACGAGCTTGCATACGCAAGAACCGACTACCTAAGTCGTCCTAGAGCAGCCTGAGGCCTAAGCAGGCGAAGAGCAAACCTGTCCTGCCAACCCTTTCTTCCCGAGGGACACCACTGACACAGCTCAAGTGTCTGCGTCAACAGTACGACAAAGCAGAGGTCCGTGCGGTAAAACAAACTCACCATCCTGCGAATGGCCCCGCAGATGGCATAGGTTTTAAACTGACCATTAAAGCGGCCCGTGCACCTGTCAACCTGCACAGGGGGAGAGAGGTTGGGAGAGTCGACCCCCACCCCACACACCCCACCCCACCGAGGCCAGGCCGCTGTCTGCCTCCTCCCCCGGGACGGGCTGAGCTCACCTCGGCCACATTCATCTGGATGGACGCGTGGTCCTTGGCGCCAATGATGCGGTTGCTCGCGGAGCTGACGGGAGACGGGAGTGCGTGTGGTGGGCCGCGAGGGACCGCGGGGAGGGGAGAGGGGAGAGGGAGGGGCCCGCAGCCCTGCTTACCATTTCCGCGGCACGTACAGGTCCACGAACTCGCCGGCGTCGTTCTGCATGTCGAGTCCGTGCCTGT